TTTCCCCGGGGAGAGTATTAATTGGCATTAAACCCAGATAAATATGGTTCTGTTGCCCTTAGTGTAGCGACTGACCTCGTCAGTGGCATTCTGTAATTTAGAGTTTCAGTATATTCAGAAAAGGATCCTTCTTATTAAGGTGTGTTTTTACCCTTCCAGTTAGAGGCTACTCAATTGCACACCTCTCCCCAGGCTCTGGCTCTTTCCCTCTGGGAATCACATACATTCATGTCTGTTAACTGCGTGCTACCAGTTACCTTATCACTCTGGGGTCCATGATTTTAAAAAATGTTTACCTGTTTCCCAGTCAACCAGTGTGGTATAGTGGTTAAGAGAAGAGAGTCTGAGGTCAGATTCTGCAGGTTCATATCCACACTTGGCGGCTGTGACATACGTACGGCCTGGGCAGGGTCTCCTCTGTGTTCGTATCTGTGACTTGCAAAGTGCGATCTCATAGTACTCCCAACTCAAAGCCTTACTGAGTATAGCAAGAACCTAATAATAAATCCTGGGTATCTTTACAGAGGTCCAAAATCCCCCTGGTACATAGTCCCTATACTGGCATTTGGAAATGCAAAAAATTGGAGATGAGCCAAATGTCAGTTGAAATGGTCACTACCAAGTTTCCAGCTCTGGTGAAGGCAGACGAAGTTTGGACCAGCCCTCCCACTGAGAATGTGGGGGTGTGAGAAAGCTGACATCTCCACCCTCATATTGTCTCTGTCTCCCTTGCTGCTTAATCTTTAGGGTCAGAAAGCTCCTGCCCAGCCCTGCAGCCCAACATTAGTCATCAGAGGGAATTTAGCCTGTGACTTGAGATTCATGCGACCAGCCCCTCAGCTGAAACTTGTTTCCCTGAGGAGATAAATAAGTATGTACAAAAATGATGACTGGACTGTCAAGGCCTTACAGAAACATCATGGCCAGATGCATGTCACAGAATGACTGGGGTCAGCTGGCCAAGGGTAAAAGGACTCACCACCCCCCTCAGACCCTCACTGACACCCAGATGTCTGATCCGATTATCTTGACCTCGGCTGCCTTCTGCTCCCCCTTCCCTAATATAAAGAAGCTTGACATCAACCCTGAGTTAAGGTGGGGCTTTGGGACATGAGTCCGTCGTCCCCTTGGTCTGCTGGCTTCCAAGTAAAGTCACTTTCTTTGCCCCAACACCACACTATGTCTCTTGACTTATTGGCTTGTCATGGGGTGAGCGGCATGACCTTGGACTTGGTAGCAAGAACAGCCAGGAGGGCAGGAGAAAGAGCCTAGAGAGTTTGTTTGAAAGCCCTGGAGAACTGTCAAGTTGGGGAGGAGAGAGCTGGGGAAAGGTGAGTCTGTATCTGGGGCAGTGCCTGTGGTTTCTGAAAGTGGTGTCTCCGAGGCTGGGAAGTTGAGGGAGTTTGCAGCAGGTGTTGGGGACTGAGAAGCCAAAACGTAACATTGAGCTTGTACAAGTAAAGGACGCAAACTGTGATCTCTAGGAGGGGCCCAAAAGGGTTGTAGAAGTACATGACTATCAGGCTAATAGAGATAACAGAATAATAAAATAATGAATCTAAAGATGTCAGGAAAGAGATACAGAAATATGGAAGGGGCAGGACAGATAGAAAGCAAAGCATAGGATTATACATTCATTTCAAATATTTCAGTAACACCTATGCTTGGATTTGGGACCTCAGAATACCCAACTCAAGTAAAAGGATAAACCAGAAATAGAGGAGCCTGCACAGATGAGCTTTAAGTCATCCAAATCCCTGATTGGATTAAAGTCACATAATTCTTATTGGCGACTCTCATTTAGTCACCTAAAAGAAAGAAAAGAGGACATAGCTTTCCAAAAGAAAATACATCATTGAATTTAAAAAATACACTATCATATCAAAGGGTGACATACGCAACTCTTCTGGTAAGACTGGAAATAAACAAGGGTGTTCTTTAATCTCTTCTGACATTGTGCAAGAGTTAATAACCAGTGCAACAGGAAAGAAAGAACATTTATAATTGGAAATCATTGAAATTCTCAAATCACCTCTATTATTTTTCATTGCAAGTTTTAGATTTTATAAAAATTGGAAACAAGAGCTTGTGTATGAGAAGATACATAAGCTGTATCAGAAGAATAGCAGGCAGAAAAACAGGTGCATGTGGCATCCAGGAGAGAGAGCTACCGCACATGAGATTACAGAGCTCTCAGGCAGAAAACCTAAACTAGCCACGCCTAATATGTTTATGTGACTAAAAGATAACATTGAAAGAAATGGACAAAGAATTGGGAGCAATGATAACTCCAGAGCCTAAAAGCCCAATAACTGAAACGAGCCACCCAGTGGTGGAGTTTAATAGTGTGTTAGATGAGGGAATAGTGGGCCTGCAGGTGTGTCATTGAGGGACAAAAGGTTGGGGAAAAAAACCCCAAAGTGATCAAATATCAAGATGAGCTGTACAGGACACATAGGAAAAGATGGTTGAAACTGGGGCTCAGAAGGAGAAGAGTAAGTAAAGGACACTAAATAACCGAATTCAAGGAGCGTTCTAAAACTTGGATGAATACAAAGAAAACTACATTTACACACATTATAACAAAACTGCTTAAATCAAAGACAAAGAGAAAATCTTAAAAGGAGCCAAAAAGCGAACAAATGCCCCACATGTTGCTGTTGGAGAAACAACGGAAAGATTGACAGCTGACTTTCCAACGAAATAGTGAAACTCAGACAAAATGGAAGAGGCTGAAAGCTTTGAAGCAAAGTAGCGGCCTGCCAAGACTTCTAAAAGCTGTGACAGTATCTTTACAAAATGTGGGCAAATAATGCTTTTCGGGGAGACAAATCATCAAATACAACAGTACAGACAAACATTATTATTATACAAAAGAAGAAAAATGATTCCAGATGGAAGTTTAGGGAACAGAAAGGAATTAAGAGCAAAGAGAAAGGTAAATATATGGGTATTTAAAAAGCATACATATAATAATAATAACTTATATGTTTTTAATGTATCTGGAGTCTTAAAAACATAAATTCAGTAACCTGCAAGTCAGGGGTGCTTAGTGTAGCTGAATTGTTCTAATTAGAAGGGAACTCAGAGCCTTAAATACATATATTAGGAAAAAAGCTTATAATTAATCATCAAAGAATGCAACCTCATGCAGCAAATAACCCCAAAGAGGGATGGAAATAAATATGATAAGAATATAAATTAATGAAACAGAAGATAAAAATACAATACAGAGCTTTAACAAAGCCAAAGCTGATTCTTTGAGAAGAATCTTTGAAAACTGATAAATCCTTGGTGATAATCAGGAAAATATGAGGACTTCAAAACAGGGATATTGGTAAAGATATTAACAGTTGTTACAAAGATCATAAGAGGACAAACACTGGATGATTTTATGTAAATAAATCTGAATGTTTAGGTAAAGTTATCTAATTCCTGGAAAACTAAGTTAACAAATGGACCCAAGAAAAAGTAGAAATGTGAGTATTCTTACCAGAATTAAATATGTCAAATTTATAGTTCTATTTTTTGTGCACTTGTCCACACACACACACACACACACACACACACACACACACATAGTGACTCCATGTTCAGCTGGTTTCCTGTCATATTCTATCCAACTCTAATGGAAGAAAATCACACTAACCCTTCACAGAACCTTCCAGGAATAGAAAAGAAACACTAACCAATTTCTTCTGTAAGACTCAAATAATGTGAAAAATTGAAATTTGACAGAGACTTTACAAGAAAAGAAAAACTGAGCTCAAATCCACTTACAACAAACAGATTTTAAAATCCTAAGCAAATATTAGCAAACTGAATCCAACAGTGCGTACAAAAGGCAACACATTGTATCCAGATGGTGTTTATTTTGAAATACAAGATTGTTTTAACATTTGAAAGTCAATAAATGTACTTCAGCATAGTATCAGAGTAAAAGAGAAAACTCATGACATTTTAATAGATGGAGGAAAAGTATTTATTAGAAAATAAGGAAGTAAAGGCACATAGTTTAACCTGTTGAAGAGGAATTTAAAAAATACACTATCATATCAAAGGGTGACATACTCAACTCTTCTGGTAAGACTGGAAATAAACAAGGGTGTTCTTTAATCTCTTCTGACATTGTGCAAGAGTTAATAACCAGTGCAACAGGAAAAAAAAAATTTATAATTGGAAAGGAAGAAATGAAACTGTCATTATCTGGCATGTTTGTGCATGTAAAAGAGTCCCAAAGAGTCTATAGTGAAATTACTAAATTTAATACATTAGTTCAGCAATGGAACTGAATTCAGTGTCAATTGTATTTCTGTATACTACCAAAAAATATTAGAAAGCAAAATCCTTTGCTGTAATAGTGTTGGATAGACTCATGGAATAGAATACAGTCTAGAAACAGACCCCAACATATATGGACATGATTTAATTAATTGGGGCACTGCAGGCAGATGGAAAGATGGTTTTTCAGAGGATACTGGGTCAGCTGCATATCCATGGGGCGGGGGGGAAATCAACACTGCCTCACTACATAAACAAAACAAATGCCAAACTATTGACATAATGAAAAAGGCAAAATAAAAATTAGACTTCTATCCATCAAGGACAAGACTTAGAAATTAGACTACGCTAAAATAAAGAACTTTTAGCCATCATTGGAGACCATCTGGAGGATAGGATGCAAGCTAGAGTGTATTTGTAACACACTAACACAGATGGCTTCTATGCAGAATATCTACCTATCATTTATCATCTCTCCAGCTATCTTTTATCTGTCATATCTACCTATGTCATCTGTCATTTATCTACCATTTACCTATCATCTATATCGTTTATCTGTTATCTAGTTTCATTCATCTATAATCAATCATTTAACATCTATCATCTATCTGTTTATCATCTATTTATTATCTTCTAATATGTATCATCCATCAATTATTGATCAAGTATAATCTATCTACCTATTTGTCACCTACCTGTATCTGTGTATGTGGGTAGGTATGTATGATTTATCAGTCGTCTGTCTGTCTTGCTGGCTACCTAGCTAGCAATCATCATTCATCTTTTCTTTCTCCCTCGAGAGAGATACTAAGATCTCAGGGTCCAACTACAGTGAACTTGCTAATTTTTGGTGTTCTGCTTTCGAAACCCACCACGACTTAGACAGATGCTCAAATTCGTCAGCCCGGACCCACGTGCTCCTGTTCCCTTTGCTGAGCTCGCAGGCGGGGTGCGACTCTGCCAGTAAACGCAGCAGGCCCACAGCTCGGGTCAGCTCTCCTCAGCTCTGGCTGAGCTTTTGCTTTGCCTCATCTACTTACTGATTTTTAAAACTTTAGTGTAAGATTATAATTATTTGCAATATAACATTCTCTATCTAACAAAGCCTCTCTGCAATACTTTCCTAAAGCAAATGAAAAACTATTCAGTCACTTTACTTAGAGTCAGAGCTAGTCACTTCTGATACTCACCCCATGTTCTCTAATCTCTCCCCTTCTGTGTCCGTCCTTAATCTCGATTCTTCTCTCGCTCATGAGCAGGGGGAAGGTTTCTGGTCGCGGCGCCAGGGCAGTGCGTTTTCTGGTGACCTGCGGTGTTGGGAATGCTGCTCCCTTGGCCTCCCCTGTGAACAGGAGGACGGTTCTGGGAGCAACGTGGGTGGGCTCGGCCCACGTGGCCAGCACCTCCCTCCTGCACTGGCTTTCCTGGGGCACTGTCTTGACCATATTTCTGCCCTTTTTCTCTTTACCCCTCTTTGCTGGTTCGGAGGTCTGTGGCCAGTTTTGGTATCTTCATGTTCATTTTCTCCCTCTTTCCCAGCCCTGCTGTGGACTGTGCCAGGAGATCCCCCCTCCATCGCTGCCCCTTGCCGCAGGTGACGGTGCGCCTGGCCTCCCACGTGGACTTTAACCCGCTGTTGTTTTCCCTGCAGTGTCGTCTTCCTCCTGCCCACCCTCTTCTCCTCACTGTAATCCCCTCTTGGCTCTTCCGGGACACCTGAGTCTGATGTTTTATGAAATATTCTTATTGTCATAAATGTAATACCTCAGACTTTTCTTCCAAATCCCTGGGATATTATTCTCATTCTTTACAGCTGCAGAATTTCATCATGAGCCACACGTTAAACTGTTTTCTTATCTCTTAAAGAGAGTGACTGGCCCAGGCTCAGATCTGAAAATGCAGAGACCACAGGGTGCAAGAGTCCACCCCTTGGCAACTGCACCTGGGGGCCTGAGCCACACGCCTGTCAGCTCCTGTTCAGGTCAGTCTCAGGCCATGGGTTTTAAGCTGGAACCTGTGAAATCTCGGGAGGTTCTGGAAAGCCTTCTGGGGCTGTCACCATTCTTATTTTCCCACAGGGGAAATTTTGTTTAAAACTCTGCTGGAAATGTTTGCCACCCTGCTCCAGGCTCCTCTGGCCTGGACATGGGGGACATGGCTCTGCCCTTCACACAGCTGGCAGGATGCCAACCCCTGCAGCGTGGGCCAAGGGCACTCTGTGTGGCTGTGTTTCTGAGTTCACTCTGAGCCCCCTGCCCCCCTTCAGTGTCCCTTGTTTGTCCACAGGGCCAGGGCTTCTTATGGAGACTTTCTTGTGCTGGAGGGCTAATGCATGTGCTTGGAGGCCAGAGGAAGTCAGAGGGATGCCCTTGAGATGACAACCCACCAGCCACCACTTCCCGGGTAGGCGCTGCCTTGCCAGTGGGTTTCAGCCCCGGGCAAGTGCACTATGGATTTAGTGAGACTGAGAGATGACAATGGAATGTTCTTGGGGTGAGAGGGTTTATTACCTGGCTTGTTCTCCCTGCAATAGTTTGAGCACTAGAATTACATCTGCATCTGCATCCAGTAGTCTGCAGGTCTGTAGCCCTCCTTTGTCTCAGCCCCTACCCACAGGTGGCTCTAAGGACCCAGAAGGGACCTCTTCCTAGGGCTGGACCGTCTGATGTCATTTGTTTCTTGACACCACCGCTTAGAGAGCTCTTTATATAGTGACTCAGCCAATAATAGCTTATTGCCCACAGGTGTGGGAGCAGTAGCCCAGCAGCAGGGCAGTTACATCAGCAGGTGGTTAGGGTCAGGTGAGGGTCCTGGCTGCAGGAATCCCAGCTTTCCCCACAGGTGTGCTTCCCTGACCCATGTGCACTGGGTCTACTGCAGGAGGAAGGGTGGCAGCCGTGGTCTCTTCTTAGTTTCTGACATGTAGGCTCAGAAGGTGGCATGTTGGGCAGACACTGACGTCACTTAATGTTCACACTGACGTTCTCTTTTCAACAAATGCCCGGTGTCTTGCCATTGGGTTTTAGCCCCGGGAAAGTTTGTTATGGATTCAATATGACCAAAGAAATTGACAGCAATATGTTCTTTGGGGTGAAAGGGTTTATTACCCGGCTTGTTCTCCTGGCAGTAGGCCGAGCACTAGCATCTCTGCCCCTGCCCAGAGCACTGGGCCGAGCTCTCTATATAGCGCAATAATAGCTCATTGCCCACAGGTGTGGAAGCAGTAGCCTAGCAACAGGCCAGTTACATCAGCAGGTGGTTTAAGTTCAGTGAGGATCCCGGCCATAGGAACCCCGCTTCCCCGCACGTGGATAGTAAGCAATGTCAGTGATCAGCAATGCCCACATGTTAACAGCCTCCTGTGAACTGGGCTCTGTGGCTGCATCTTATGCGTGTTCCCCACCATCGCTCAGATGTGACCCAGGACTCCTGCTGGGGTGCACGTCCTGGTCCCAAAGCCTGGACTTTTTCACTAAATGTTTCCTTAGTTCTATCATGGAAGATTTGTTTTTGCCATTTGTGCATTTTCATGGTTACCTGAAGGAAATTAAGAAATCTCATTTACTTAATATCTTCCCATGGATTTTTTAAAAACCAGAATGAATTTAATGTGGTTCAAGAGTTGTTTAGAGTGACTTAGGAGATCTCTTGGGGATGGAGATCTTGGGTGCCAGTCTCAGGCTGAGAGGTCAGCTGTTCTCAGTGAGGCTGACCTGCATGGTCACACATATGGTCTGTGCTCTATTCCAGAGGGACAAGGACATGGACAAGGCCACTGGGGCACCTCTGCAGAGGTGACACACCCTGCAATTCCTTTGAAGCTGTGTCTCTTCTGGGACATGTGGCCATGGGTGCCTCAGTGTCCCTTGTCCACGGTGGTGGAGGAAACATATGGGATGGTCAGGGGGATTGTGAGTGGCTCTGTGGCTGCAGGAGAGGTGGGGGAGGGAGGCATTGGAGCGTCAGGGGCCCAGGTCCTGCCACGTCTGGCAGCCCCTCCTGCGAGTGTCCTCCCTCTGATATGACAGCAACACTTAGTGGGTGCCACAGGACTATCACCTCGCTTCCACTCCTCATAGCTCCCCTCAAAGGATGTGCCATGCTCCCCTCAGCTTTGGGATAAAGACATGGGGGATCCTGGAGGCCGCTGAGGGGCTCAGCCCCGTGGAGCTGGTCAGCGGTGGGCTGCCCTGCAGACGAGGGTCTGATGCGGAATGCGAGCTCAGGGTATGCCCGCAGCTGTCCAGGGGTCCATGGTGGGGCTGAGCAGGCACTTCCACTACTGAAAGCAGGACACCAGGGGAGCACGTGTGTGTCCCCGTGGAGAATGATGGTGATAGTTACCATCTATGCATGAAAAGCACAGTTGTCATAAGCAGAGACAGAGCCAGCTTGGGCTGTCCTTGCAGCCGAAGTAATCTCATTTCTTAGTCAAAATGTGTCTCTCCCATTCATTTCTCCACGTCAGACTGCTTCTCTCCCCTTTAATTTCTCACATTTGTCATTTTATAAAGGGCTCACTTTATTCAGAGTAAAATGAGATGTGCGCTCTGCTTTGAGAAGCCAACCACCTAAGGTCAAAAGCCAGCACCTGGGAGAGGCATCGAGCCCCTGGGTAATTATGTTTCTAAGCAGAGGGGCTGGATTTTCCTGCAGAAGGTCACTTGGTGGGCCCAGTTTTTACCTCCAGCCTTCATGACGGTGGCCCAGTGTGTTCGCACTTTAACTGAAGCCCCACTGTCCTTGCTCTGGGTCAGGACACCGTCGTATTTGAAGAGTGATTGCCCTTTGCATGTTTTGTATGTTGCAATAATATTTTCTCTAGTATTTTTTGTGCGTGCGTTGACGTCTATGTAAGAACCCAGGTGGAAAGCATTAAACTTCTGCTGTAGAATATTTAAGACACCAGCTTAGGGAGGCTGTGAAGATACACTGTTGAAAATACCTGTGCTGTGTGAAACATTTCGTCAGGGCTTGCTTTAAGTAATTGTTATCTAGGTCAAGTGGGATTTCACTTAAATTAATTAAAGCTACAGGATCGAGACTAGACGTACTAAAATTATTGTTCTCTTACCTCTACAGGTTTGCACAGGTGTAGAGAGATACCATGTAGAGCTTCAGCACAGGGAGGGGTATGTCTGTTAAGAGGGAGACTGCATAGAGCTGGATAAAACATCTGTGAACTGTGATTAGCCAAAGTTCCTCAATTTCATTTGGACTGGTGCTAAAAGGACACATTTGCTAAATAATGAATAAGACAGATGCTCCAATTACATGATCATATTTGCAAAAACAGTTTACTTAGAGTCAGAATGTCATCAGAATGGGAACTAAGTGGCACCTAGCCCCTTTTTAGCCTGAGTAAGGGGTGGAGAATTGTGGATGAGGACCACCCAGACTGTGTCATATTTTCTGGTCTGAATGGAGGTTTTCATTGCTAACGACATTTTTGACCCCAATCTCCCAATACCCACACATCTGACAGACAACATGAAATAAATGCACAAAAGTAACTGTAAATATTCAAAACACTAAAACTAGTAGAATCAGCATTCAAGTCCCACAAAATGGGCACAAGGAGAGCCTGGCGGTATAGTCGTCGGCACTGTGACTCTAAACTGGAAGCTGGTGTGGTCAGTGGGCTGACAAACATTGGCCGTTTCCTCCACGGTGGCTCTAAGGACCCAGAAGGGACCTCTTCCTAGGGCTGGACCATCTGATGTCATTTGTTTCTTGACACCACCGCTTAGAGGGCCTGGGGCTGTTTGGGGGTTTTGGGGGCCTGGGTCTTCTGTCTCTGAAGTGGCACTGATGCCGTATCACCTCCCTGGCTGGCTTGGGGAGCCGAGGCCCTCGTAGAAGCGTGGAGTGGGTTGCAGGCCCACATGTGGATGCCGGTGGCTACAGGGCCAATTCAGAAATAGAAGTCTCTGGGCTTCTCACGTTCGCAGACCAGCTGGCCAGGCTGCCTCCTTCTTGTGTGCCAGTCATTGCCCGACTCCAGCCATGTGTAAAGCAGCGTCTGAGGGGACGGCCCACTCCAAGTCAGGCCCCGTGTGGTGCGGTGCAAGCACAGGATGAGGCAGGCCGAAGGCGACCGGTGTGTGCACCTGAAAACGTGCCGTGATGGGGGAGAACTGCTGCGCTTCTCCATATGGTCAGGGTACCGAACACGTGTGCGGTTTTACTGGTGAACTGTGGCTAGTATGGTTACAAATTAAATTTAAGAGAAATTGCTGGTCTTGCACCTAAATGAATGAATTTTTAAAGTTCTGTTGTTTTATAATTATAAAAATAATATATGCTTTTTGTGAGAGAGAGCATAAAATGTAAATATTCATTAAAACCCCCCTTGGCCCTGGCACCATGCCCCTAGGGTACAGCACTGCTGGTATTTATCTTTATTCTTTAAAGTAAATATAGCCCACCTTATAGCAATAGGTGCCACCTGTGGGCACCGCTCTGCATGCTGCCGAGAGTGGGCAGGGCCCTGAGGGGCTGTCTCCTGCAGCGCCCCCTACCGCCCACCGAGGGCACAGTGATTTGCCCTGTGCACTGCACTGGAGGTGCAGGTGGGGAGCGGAGTCCCAGCTCCTGTCTCTCTTCTCCATCCTGAAGCTCCAGGCTAGTCCAAAAGCATCAGGCACCCCTCCGAATTCCCTCTCTCTGTCTTCAGAACCAAGAGATGAGCCTCCGGGTCCAGAAGAGCTGACCACGGAAGGAGCGTGTTGCTTTCTGGCCATGGATAGAACCCTAAGGATGAGAATGTTCTCCAGGGGACGGCACCTTGACAGCTCTCTCCCTACCCATGACGCTCCTGCACCCCATCAGCCTTGCCCCCCGGTGGTGAGGTGGTGGCTGCAGAGGCAGGACCAGCCCAGGACTGTTGGCCTCCAACCCCACGCTCTTTCCACCATGCCAGCCTGCCCGCCTTTCTAAGCACTGTAGTTCCTTTCTAAGAGGTTTCGTGTCCACTACTTCTTGTTCCCGGAGCTCATGGCCATGTGCCAACAGGCTGAGAACGCCAGGGTTCGTGTGTCACAGTGCCTGTTGTCCTGGAGCTCGCGGAGACATGAGGTGGCAGGTGGACGTGTCACGACCGTAAGCCCTTGATTTTTCCCAAGGCTTTTCTGTGTCGGGGGCTAGGTGGCGCCCCCTCCGAGAGACGGTTCTGGAAGGCAGAGGCGGGGGTGGGGGGTGCTTCCTGGATGAGGGGCCCTCTGAGCTGGTCTCACCCTTCCCTCGAGGGCTTGGGAGTCACAGCTCTTCTTCCCCCTGAGATATCAGAATCAGATTCTGGCTCAATTTTGGTCTTTAAAATATCATTTATCTTAGAGCGATTTTAGGGGATATGTTATAATTAAAGACATTTGACCACCCTTCAGAAAATGAAAATCGAAGTG